GAGTGAGAGTGAATGAGTGAGTGAATGAGTGAGTGAATGAGTGAGTGAATGAATGAGTGAGTGAATGAATGAGTGAGAGAGTGAATGAGTGAGTGAATGAGTGAGTGAGAGTGAATGAGTGAGAGAGTGAATGAGTGAGAGAGTGAGTGAATGAGTGAGAGAGTGAATGAGTAAATGAGTGAGTGAATGAGTGAGTGAATGAGTGAGTGAGAGAGTGAATGAGTGAGTGAATGAGTGAGAGAGAAAGTGAGAGAAGCTGTGTGTGGCGTCAGGAGATGAATAACAGAGGCAGGAGGAGAGAGGAAGTGATGATCAAAAAGGCGATGGGGAGGCAGGGGGAGGGAGTGAGTGAGGGGGTAGGGAGGGGGTAGGGAGGGGGTAGGGAGGGGGTAGGGAGGGGGTAGGGAGGGGGTAGGGAGGAGGTAGGGAGGAGGTAGGGAGGGGGTAGGGAGGAGGTAGGGAGGAGGGGTAATGACGGGAGGGTGAGGGGGAGGGTGGAGAGGGCAGAGACCAAGTCGTAAATTTGCAGGCCTCGACTCACGTGAGGGCAGTCTGCCCCCCTACCCCCCTAGCCCCCCCCCCCCAGCCCCCCTACCCCCCTAGCCCCCCCCTAGCCCCCCCCAGCCCCCCTCCCCCACTTCCTCTCGTGAGTTCCCATTTAGAGTCGCCACGTGCCACGGGCGGCAGTGGCAACTTTATTGTTTTGAATTTGTAAAGTGGCGTGTCGGTATTTTAAAGAAGAAATAAATAAAGTCTTCTGATTCGACTTTACGGCGATTTTTATACCCACAACGCCTGCGGCAGTTCAAACGATAACGACACACACACACAGACACAGTCACACACAGACAGTCTCACACACACAGTCACACACAGTCTCACACAGTCACACTCAGTCACACACAACACACACACACAGTCACTCACAACACAGTCACACTCATACACACACAGTCACACTCAGTCACACACAGTCACTCACAACACAGTCACACTCATACACACACAGTCACACTCAGTCACACACAGTCACTCACAACACACACACACAGTCACTCACAACACAGTCACACACTCACAGTCACACACACACACGGTCAGTCTCACACAGTCTCACACAGTCACACACTCACACAGACACAGTCACACACAGTCTCACACAGTCACACAGTCACAAAGACAAAGATCCCCCGTATAGCCTTAACAGACTGTAGGGGCAAGTGCTGTTAGCGAGCACCTATGAAGGCCGGAACGGTACACGAGGGGGTGGGTGGCCAGCACCACGCCCGACCGCCTTTGTCTCCCCAGTGGCAATGTTTTTATCCACCGCACTAGGTACTCATTCGAGGCTGAGTCGACCTAGGGGAGGCCCGGGACCGGTTCAGATAATCGTCATTGGTGTTGGCCGTGAGCGGGAATCGAACCCGGGTCGCCAGGTTCATAGCGCAGCACGCTAACCGCTACACTATCGCTCACACAGACACAGTCACACACACACAGACACAGTCACACACACACAGACACAGTCACACTCAGTCACACACACACAGTCACACACTCACACATAGTCACACACACAGTCACACTCATACACACACAGTCACACACAACACACACACACAAGTCACACTCAGTTACACACAACACACAACAACAACCGCCATTCGCCACTAAGTGGCGACGACGTCACCACGACGCTTGTGCCAGGCCATGTGCACCTTGAGGCCACGTGAAGTGTCGAACGCCCGCTGGCAGGAGGTCACGGGGCAGACCCAGGTGCCACGGGTCGACTGCCTGAGATGACTGAGATGACTGGCTGATGCACCACCTGTGCCCCCTACTGTGCCAACCTGCTGTGCTTTAGCCACCCGGCGCTCCACTCATTGTTGTGAGCGTCGCTCCTCCGCCCTCCGTTGTTGTTGGAGGGCGACTGCCTCCAACTGCCCAGTAGCGTCCTTCACGAGCCTCCTCCACAGAGGCCGATCTTGACACCGCTGGTACCAGTCATCGGCAAGTCCACTCAGCTCCACGTCCTCCCGTACCACATCACTCCATCTCTTCTGTAGCCCGTGCCGCGCCCGTTTAGCCCCCTCGATCCAGCCGAACAAAAGCTGTTTCGGCATGCGGTGGCTGGGCATGCGGGCTACATGACCCAGCCAACGCAACCTTGCCTGCCGGAGGAGCTCACCTATGGGACCGTGCACAGATCTTTCAAGGATTTGTGAGCTCCTCACACAATCCAGCCTGCAGGTTAAACCCAGGATGGATCGTAGGCAGGCCAGCCTAAATGTTTCTAAGCGGCGACGATGTTCCATTAGGGGGGGTCCATGGAACATCTACGCCGGTTAGAAACACACATACACATACATACACACATGCACACTTACATGACGATATCCCGACTGTGACGTGCAGGATGATGCCATCGTCGCCACGAGACCACCGATGAATCCGTCCAGAAATGAACGCGGGGTATGGGGCACAACGTCCCCAACAACCCCGCCACGGACAACGGCCCACAGAAGTGGACACCATGGAGCTACTTCTGAGAATGACTTCAAGGAGAGCTGCTGCCCCAGAACATGAGCTACTTTGTGAACGAGCCAACGCAAGACGACCCCCCTGGGGTTTGAACTTCCACGGGAGATGCTTGTGGCCCACCCTGAGCCGCTTGCGCGAACCACGGCAGTAGCGGACAGCTGACGATGCACCAGTGGAACGATAGAAACTCTCCGGGTGCAGCGGACAGCTGACGATGCACCAGTGGAACGATAGAAACTCTCCGGCAGTAGCGGACAGCTGACGATGCACCAGTGGAACGATAGAAACTCTACGGCAGTAGGGGACAGCTGGCGATGCACCAGTGGAACGATAGAAACTCTACGGCAGCAAAGGACAGCTGGCGATGCACCAGTGGAACGATAGAAACTCTCCGACAGTAGCGGACAGCTGGCGATGCACCAGTGGAACGATAGAAACTCTCCGACAGTAGCAGACAGCTGACGATGAACCAGTGGAATGATAGAAACTCTCCGACAGTAGTGGACAGCTGACGATGCACCAGTGGAACGATAGAAACTCTACGGCAGTAGCGGACAGCTGACGATGCACCAGTGGAACGATAGAAACTCTCCGGCAGTAGCGGACAGCTGGCGATGCACCAGTGGAACGATAGAAACTCTCCGACAGCGGCGGACAGCTGGCGATGCACCAGTGGAACGATAGAAACTCTCCGGCAGTAGCGGATAGCTGGCGATGCACCAGTGGAACGATAGAAACTCTCCGACAGTAGCGGACAGCTGACGATGCACCAGTGGAACGATAGAAACTCTCCGGCAGTAGCGGACAGCTGACGATGCACCAGTGGAACGATAGAAACTCTCCGGCAGTAGCGGATAGCTGGCGATGCACCAGTGGAACGATAGAAACTCTCCGGCAGTAGCGGATAGCTGGCGATGCACCAGTGGAACGATAGAAACTCTCCGACAGTAGCGGATAGCTGGCGATGCACCAGTGGAACGATAGAAACTCTCCGACAGTAGCGGATAGCTGGCGATGCACCAGTGAAATGATAGAAACTCTACGGCAGTAGCGGTGTGGCGGCCATGATCATCCAGCGCAGACCGTAAAAGACGCGACGCCCCGACCCACAAATACGAGGAGGAGACATCGCGGCGGCGATGATGATGTTGATGATGACGATGCTGATGATGACGATGATGACGATGATGACGACGATGATGACGATGCTCCACCGTGACTCCGCTTGCTCTGGACGCGGTTGTTATGGGCTTGACCACCTCAATGTGAAGTCGTCGTTTGCTCTGCGTCACCACCACCTCACCATCACCACCATCACCACCACCATCACCACCAATGCCTCCCCAAGCAACCACCACACCTCCACGATCACGTGATGTAACACGTGATGTACCAAATGCCGCCCGGCTCCTGCTCTACACACCACGTGTGTTGTACGTGTGTTGTACGTGTGTTGTACGTGTGTTGTACGTGTGTTGTACGTGTGTTGTACGTGTGTTAAACTTCTTTCGCGCCGTACGTAGCCAGGCACGCTAATCGACGGTGTGGAGGGGGAAGGACAACAAACACCACGTGACCTACACGTGTACCCACCACGTCACCTACACACGTACTCACCACGTGACCTACACGTGTACTCACCACGTCACCTACACACGTACTCACCACGTCACCTACACGTGTACTCACCATGTCACCTACACACGTACTCACCACGTCACCTACACGTGTACTCACCACGTCACCTACACACGTATTCACCACGTCACCTACACGTGTACCCACCACGTCACCTACACACGTACCCACCAAGTCACCTGCACGTGTACTCACCACGTCACCTACACGCGTACTCACCACGTCAACTACACGCGTACTCACCACATCACCTACACGCGTACCCACCACGTCACCTACACGCATACCCACCATGTCACCCTGGGGTTCGTGTTCAGCACCATATCCCGCGGTGCTGAAACGTCCAAACTCTCGCACGTGGCGGGGGGGGGGGGGGTAATGGAGGCGTTCGCGGACGTCCACGTAAAACAAAAAACAATCCCAGAATCTGCGCAGGATTCAGGGACGCTGCGGGTGATCCAAAGCATCCGCTTTAGGTTCTTAGGGGACCCCCACAAATCCGAGTGGCGCCGGCGACGTCGCAATCGCGGACGCGGCGACGCCGGCTGCCGGGCCGGCTGCCGGGCCGGCTGCCGGACCGGCGTCGCCGCGTATTCCGCGCGACGCAACCTTCACATTCGGCTGCGTCGCTCGCGAAAAGTCGTCGAAGGCCCATCAACGTGGAAGCGACGACGACGACGCCGCGGGAAGAGTAAGAGAGTGAGAGAGAGAGCGCCGGCCTCGGACCGGCCGCAGCCTCCCACTCCGTGTCGCCGGCTCGCGCTCGTGCTCATGCTCGCTCTCGCTCGCTCACGCTCGCTCTCGCTCTCGCGCTCGCTCACCCTCTCAGCATGTCCTGGTTGCCTCTGCGCCGGACCCGGTTGCTCGCTGCCGACTCTCGGCTCCGATCGGAGTCTTCGCGGTTCCGGCCGCTGCTGCCGCCGTCGCCACCACCACCACCGCCGCCGCCGCCGCCGCCGCCGCCGCCGCCGCCTGCTGCTGCCGCCGCCGCTGCTCCCTCTGCGTCCCGCGAGCCGCCGCGCTGTGCCAGGAGCGGTGCCACCACGCAGGACCACGTGAGCAGCAGCAGCAGCAGCAGCAGCGGTGGAACGCCGAGCCGGCCGCCCTCTCGTCTCGCCATGACGGGGCCACCGTTCACGCCGGTCTGCTCGTCCGGTGAAGGGTTCGGTGGGGCCCGTGGGTGTCGGCAGGGGGTCGGTCGGTCGGTCGGTCCGGAGGGCCTGGTGGTCCCTTGGGTCGTTGGGCGGCCTCTCGATGGGCCGGTTCAACCGTTCACTCCGCGGCCTGCTCGCTCCTTCGCTTGCTCACTCCACGGTTTTTTGTTTTCGCTCGTCCGCCCCGGCTTCTGGCGCGTTCGCCGATTCGTGAGGCCGCTGGTCCCCACGTTGGCCCCCCCCCCCCCCCCCCCCCCGGCGTGCACCCTCCTCCGTTCGCCGGCTCCTTCGCCCGTGCACCTGGGCTGCCCCTCCGCTCCCTCCGCTCATTCACTTCTCCCCGAGGTCGATCCTCACCTCGTCCGCTCTTCAGCTCCCTTCGCTTCACCTTCCCCTCGCGGTCTTTCGGCAATCCGTCGATTATTCCCTCCGCAGCTCGTAAGGTAACCCACCACCGCCCTGCTCACTGGCTCCAAGCACTCGTTCGTTACCACGGCGATCCCCCTGGAACCGGTCCACGGTCGGGTTCGCTCCGTGGGAAAAGCCCGCCAGGTGGAGAAGGGGAAGAGGATGGGGAGGAGGCGTTGAGAGGGCGAGCTGTGGGGGAGAAGGAGGAGAGGGTGGAGAATCAGGAGACACCGACACAAAATACACAAGGCATGAAGATTTTCGGTCGAGGATAACTCGGCCTATGCGAGTCTGTGGGTCTTCATGCGAGTCTGTGGATCTCTACGTGAGTCTGTGCGTCTCTACATGAATCTGTGGGTCTCTGCGCGAGTCTGTGGGTCTCTATGTGAGTCTGTGGGTCTCTATGTGAGTCCGTGGGTCTCTATGTGAGTGTGGGTTTCTATGTGAGTCTGTGGGTCTCTATGCGAGTCTGTGGGTCTCTATGCGAGTATATGGGTCTCTATGCGAGTCTGTGGGTCTCTATGTGAGTCTATGGGTCTCTATGTGAGTTTGTGGGTCACTATGTGAGCCTGTGGGTTTCTATGTGAGTCTGTGGGTCTCTATGCGAGTCTGTGGGTCTCTATGTAAGTCTGTGGGTCTCTGTGAATCTGTGGGTCACTGTGAGTCTGTGGGTCTCTATGTGAGTCTGTGGGTCTCTATCTGAGTCTGTGGGTCTCTATGTGAGTCTGTGGGTCTCTATGTGAGTCTGTGGGTCTCTATGCGAGTCTGTGGGTCTCTACACGAGTCTGTGGGTCTCTACGCGAGTCTGTGGGTCTCTATGTGAGTCTATGGGTCTCTGTGAGTCTGTTGGTCTCTATGCGAGTCTGTGGGTCTCTATGTGAGTCTATGGGTCTCTGTGAGTCTGTTGGTCTCTATGCGAGTCTGTGGGTCTCTATGCGAGTCTGTGGGTCTCTACGTGAGTCTGTGGGTCTCTATGTGAGTCTGTGGGTATCTATGTGAGTCTATGGGTCTCTGTGAGTCTTTTGGTCTCTATGCGAGTCTGTGGGTCTCTATGCGAGTCTGTGGGTCTCTACGTGAGTCTGTGGGTCTCTATGTGATTCTGTGGGTCTCTATGTGAGTCTGTGGGTCTCTATGTGAGTTTGTGGGTCACTATGTGAGCCTGTGGGTTTCTATGTGAGTCTGTGGGTCTCTATGCGAGTCTGTGGGTCTCTATGTAAGTCTGTGGGTCTCTGTGAATCTGTGGGTCACTGTGAGTCTGTGGGTCTCTATGTGAGTCTGTGGGTCTCTATCTGAGTCTGTGGGTCTCTATGTGAGTCTGTGGGTCTCTATGTGAGTCTGTGGGTCTCTATGCGAGTCTGTGGGTCTCTACACGAGTCTGTGGGTCTCTACGCGAGTCTGTGGGTCTCTATGTGAGTCTATGGGTCTCTGTGAGTCTGTTGGTCTCTATGCGAGTCTGTGGGTCTCTATGTGAGTCTATGGGTCTCTGTGAGTCTGTTGGTCTCTATGCGAGTCTGTGGGTCTCTATGCGAGTCTGTGGGTCTCTACGTGAGTCTGTGGGTCTCTATGTGAGTCTGTGGGTATCTATGTGAGTCTATGGGTCTCTGTGAGTCTTTTGGTCTCTATGCGAGTCTGTGGGTCTCTATGCGAGTCTGTGGGTCTCTACGTGAGTCTGTGGGTCTCTACGTGATTCTGTGGGTCTCTATGTGAGTCTGTGGGTCTCTATGTGAGTCTATGGGTCTCTATCTGAGTCTGTGGGTCTCTATCTGAGTCTGTGAGTCTCTATGTGAGTCTCTATGTGAGTCTGTGGGGCTCGATGTGAGTCTATGGGTCTCTGTGAGTCTGTTGGTCTCTATGCGAGTCTGTGGGTCTCTACGCGAGTCTGTGAGTCTCTATGTGGGTCTCTATGTGAGTCTATGGGTCTCTGTGAGTCTATGGGTCTCTGTGAGTCTGTGGGTCTCTATGCGAGTCTGTGGGTCTCTACGCGAGTCTGTGAGTCTCTATGTGGGTCTCTATGTGAGTCTATGGGTCTCTGTGAGTCTATGGGTCTCTGTGAGTCTGTGGGTCTCTATGCGAGTCTGTGGGTCTCTATGCGAGTCTGTGGGTCTCTATGCGAGTCTGTTCGTCTCTATGCGAGTCTGTGGGTCTCTATGCGAGTCTGCGGGTCTCTATGCGAGTCTCTGAGTCTCTATGTAAGTCTGTGGGTCTCTATGTGAGTCTGTGGGTCTCTATCTGAGTCTGTGGGTCTCTATGTGAGTCTGTGGGTCTCTATGTGAGTATGGGTCTCTACACGAGTCTGTGGGTCTCTACGCGAGTCTGTGGGTCACTATGTGAGTCTATGGGTCTCTGTGAGTCTGTTGGTCTCTATGTGAGTCTGTGGGTCTCTATGTGAGTCTGTGGGTCTCTATGTGAGTCTATGGGTCTCTATGCGAGTCTGTGGGTCTCTACACGAGTCTGTGGGTCTATGTGAGTCTGTGGGTCTCTATGCGAGTCTGTGAGTCTTTATGTTAGTCTGTGGGTCTCTATGTGAGTCTGTGGGTCTATGTGAGTCTGTTGGTCTCTATGCGAGTCTGTGGGTCTCTATGCGAGTCTGTGGGTCTCTATGCGAATCTGTGGGTCTCTATGCGAGTCTGTGGGTCTCTATGCGAGTCTGTGGGTCTCTATGCGAGTCTGTGGGTCTCTATGCGAGTCTGTGGGTCTCTATGCGAGTCTGTGGGTCTCTATGCGAGTCTGTTCGTCTCTATGCGAGTCTGTTGGTCTCTATGTGAGTCTGTTGGTCTCTGTGAGTCTGTGGGTCTCTCTGTGAGTCTGTGGGTCTCTCTGTGAGTCTGTGGGTCTCTATGTGAGTCTGTGGGTCTCTATGTGAGTCTGCGGGTCTCTATGCGAGTCTGTTGGTCTCTATGTGAGTCTGTTGGTCTCTGTGTGTCTGTTGGTCTCTATGTGAGTCTGTGGGTCTCTATCCGAGTCTGTGGGTCTCTATGTGAGTCTGTGGGTCTCTATGCGAGTCTGTGGGTCTTTTATTATCATTGAAACCAGACGCTAACCAAACCTGCTGTGCGCGTTCGCTGTGGAGAATGATTGGTTGGAGAAAAAATGAGACTCCACCGTTCTGACTCACACCACAACGACAAAGACAAAAATCCCCCCGTGTAGCCTGTAACAGACTGTTGGGGAACGTGCCGTTTTGTGAGCAGCACCTATGAAGGCCGGCTTGTCACGCAAGGTGGCCAACACCACGCCCGGCCGCCTTTGTCTCTACAATCGCAGTCGTATTTACACACCGCACCGGGGACTCATTTGAGTCGACCCGGGGAAGGCCCAAAACTGGAAATCGAACTCGGTTCGCCAGGGTTTGTAGCGGAGCGTGCTGACGCAACATGACCACTCCCCCGTACACAAACACAAAACAAAAGGCAAAGATCTCCCGTATAGCCTCAATAAATTGTTGGGGCAAGTGCTGTTAGCGAGGCCGGAACGGCACACGAGGGGGTGGGTGGCCAGCTACCAACGCCGCCTTTGTCTCCCCAGTGGCGATGTTTACTACACACCGCACCAGGTACTCATTTGAGACTGAGACGACCTAGGGGAGGCCCAGGATCGGTTCAGATAATCGTCAACCGGCGGCGGCGGCGGCGGCGGTGGTCGCGAGCGGGAATCGAACTCGTGTCGCTGACCGCTACACCACACACAGATGCTCTCAGTGCTCAGCTTAAATGGAAGTGCTCGCTCCAGCAACATCTGGCGAGCCGGTAAGCGTTAGGGCAAGGGGCCGCCCGACTGCTGATGAGACCCAGCAGCTCGTAACCGGTCCGTCGTTTGTTTACTCATTTTGCTTAAAAGGAAGGAATGTTGCCCTTTATTATTGGGCATCTGCAAAGCCGAGAGGGAGAGAGATGGGGGGGGGGGGGGGGTGGAGAGCGGCTGATGGTAGACTCGGGAATTACAGAAGTATTTGCGGAGACGGAATGGAATCCTGCTTATATTTGCTTTCATAAACTGAAAGGAGGGGTGTTGGTGGGGGGCTGAGGTGCCCCCCACACGCCACGAGGCAGCACCACCACTGAGCCACTCCAAGCGTATTTTCGTTCCGAGCGTCAACAGCCTATATCGTGTTGGTCTGCTAGCTCTCTCTCTCCCCATCTCTCTCTCCCCATCTCTCTCTTCTCTCTCCCCATCTCTCTCCCCATCTCTCCCCATCTCTCTCTCCCCATCTCTCTCTTCTCTCTCCCCATCTCTCTCCCCATCTCTCCCCATCTCTCTCCCCATCTCTCTCGTCTCTCTCCCCATCTCTCTCTCTCCCTCCCGCCGTGTTCCACATCTCTCTCCTTCCCCTGCCTGGCCCCCCCAAAAACAGCCAAACGCCATCATCAGCGCAGAGAGCCAAGCGCAGATTTTTTTTTTTGCCCAAAACTGACGCAGAGCCCCACTTAGCCCCCCCCCCCCTCTCTCCCGCGCTGTGAGTGAGGCGGTGCTGATGGGGAGTGGTGGGTGGGTGGTGGGTGGGGTGGTGGATGGTGGGTGGGGTGGTGGATGGTGGGTGGAGCTGGTGGATGGGTGGATGGTGGGTGGGTGGTAGATGGTGGGTGGGTGGTGGATGGGTGGATGGTGGGTGGGTGGTGGATGGTGGGTGGGTGGTGCTTGGTGGGTGGAGCTGGTGGGTGGAGCTGGTGGATGGGTGGATGGTGGGTGGGTGGTAGATGGTGGGTGGGTGGTGGATGGGTGGATGGTGGGTGGGTGGTGGATGGTGGCTGGGTGGTGGATGGTGGGTGGGTGGTGGATGGTGGGTGGAGCTGGTGGGTGGAGCTGGTGGATGGGTGGATGGTGGGTGGTAGATGGTGGGTGGGTGGTGGATGGGTGGATGGTGGGTGGGTGGTGGATGGTGGGTGGAGCTGGTGGGTGGAGCTGGTGGATGAGTGGGATGGTGGATGGAGCTGGTGGGTGGAGCTGGTGGATGAGTGGATGGTGGATGGAACTGCTGGGTGGGTGGTGGATGGTGGGTGGGGTGGAGCTGGTGGGTGGAGCTGGTGGGCTCGTGGTGGAGCTGCTGGGTGGATGCTGCTGGGTGGTCGTGGTGGTGATGGAAGAGAGCGGTGGCGCAGCGGTTAGCGCGCTACGCTGCGCTCCGAACCCGGCCTCCCGAGTTCGATTCCCACTCACGGCCACCACCATCACCACCACCACCCCCACCACAACCACCACCACAACCACCACCATCACCACCACCATCACCACCACCACCACAACCACCATCACCACCACCACCCCCACCACAACCACCACCACAACCACCACCACCACCATCACCACCACCACCACCATCACCACC